AGAAATACTAATGTTTCCCCATTAAACACTGGATTCGTTGACAGTCCCATACCTGCATTAGATATGTGCTGTGTGTTCAACATGTCTGGACATGACAGATCCTAAAAAAAGACATTTTTGTTATCATATTTTAACGAAGTCAGACATGCGGTTCATTGATGAAATCTTCATGTTAGTGCTTTGATGAGTTAGTGGTTATAGATGTGTGCCTAGGGCGCCACCAGCTGAAGGGGCGCCAATGAGCGCACGTACTGGCACTTTTAGCAGGGTTGTGATAAAGAGTGGCACGGTCACCCTGAAATATGACTGCCGCCCCCACTGGATCCCCCAACATTATTGGGCTAGAGTACTGTCAATCTGACGATGCCTGTATGCCACTAGATCAGAGTGCTGTCAATTGCTGCCTGATTGTTGCATGCAAAGTTTGCATTTGGAGCGCTCAACAACGCCATTAGATCAGTGGGCTCTGTCAGTGCTTTGGCAAGGTAACACTTTTTTTGCCATGCAATAAAGCTAAGTTCAAAGGCCAATTTAAAATATTGGTACAGTAAATAAAGTGCACAAAATCAGTATTTTGTTTAGGCAGTATTGGTGGCACTTTTGTGGGACATTTGTCCAAATATTTGTGGTAGATTTGTCCAAAAGGTGTGCGTTTTTTGCGCCAATTCATTGTTAAAGGATCAGCGTGTCAAGTAATATTCCCATATAAACTTTAACATCCAAATAAAAAATATTTGTATAGTAAAATTCGCTAATTCACGAGATCAATACATCCTTTATTAGACCGCTTTGTCGAGTTAAATGCATCCTTACGGAGGTGTCAAAATGTTGCATCAATTCATTCACTTCCAACAGCGCTTAATGGGAGCAGCGTCACGTTATTTAAAGGGGAAGTTAACGCGTTAACGGGTAGCAAATGATTAACTAGCTGCATTGGTTAATTTTATGCCACTGATAAAGCTTTAATATGTAGTTTGGGGTAACAAAGGCGTTTTATAGGTTTGACTGAAATAATAATGCAATAACTGACACTTTAAATCAATGTTTCAAGAAACAACAACAAACAAATTTAACAAAAACCAGATAAAGACAAAAAAGTAGCCATTGATAATATCTAAACAATATGTAGTAGTATAGTATATAGTATCCAAATTAAAATGTAATAAAATTAATTTGTGTGATTTATGTGTAAATTATGTGCAATGTCTTAGCCACTAGGGATTGTTACATATGGCTATACAGGCATCTAGTGGCAACACAATGATATTACAGATACTAAATTGTGCAAAATGTTTATCTTAACAGTCAATTTACAAATAATGCATTCAGATTTGTGGAACTCAATGCACTGAATCTCCAATAGGGATTTCGCCTAGGGCGTCAAATTGGCTTGAAATGGCCCTGTGTGCCGTTACACCTGCCAGACATAACACCATGTCTACACCGGCGCCGTCATTGTCATATCACCGCAACAGCTTGAGGCTGTCTACACTGAACACATCAAAGCCAAAATTCCAAATTTATTTGTGCTGTAGCAAAGGAAACGCATGTTTCAGATAACATTTTTAAAGCAGTTCTTTGCATTACAATGGCACACTAAGAATACAGGGAGAAAGGCACACCCAAGGGACAGTTTAATGATTTTATATTGTTCAT